CTTGTTTTACAACGTCGTTGCCAGGCGACGAAAACCCAACCCCGATGGCAAACACCGGGGGGGGACGCGGGGGGGGGGATCTATTTCGGGGTGTAAGTTTGCACGAAAGACTTGGGGGCTATTTGAAGATGTTATGCTTTCTAGGTGCTGGCGCTGTATATATCGCAACACAACATTTTAGACGATGAGGTTGTGGAATAACCATAATGTGCCTCACAAACCTTCATGTGCCAACACATTTTCAAAACAGCGGGCGTACACATCAAACATGGAATGTTCTCGAAGCATGGTTAATTTATCTTGACGCACCCGGACTATCCTTCGCCGGTGCTGCGGCTGCTGCTGCTGCAGACGTATCTAGCGGACCAGGTGGTGCCGCTATTCGGGAACACCCACACGACCACTTCGATCACGGGAGCGCAGACCAGCTGTTTCCGGCACGAAGCCAGGCAGATCATCGCTCAAGCAGTCAACGCAAAGGTGTGTGTGCGACTCACCACTGATACAGGGTATTCTCCGTCATCGCTCTCGGTGACACCCGCCTAGCTTTTGCCTTTGCGTGGTTCGTCGTATTTTTCCTGCCTTTTCTGCATCAAACTTCGGTTAAAACATCTTACCGCGTGGATTGCTGCGACCCTCTCATCGAGATCTCTCTTAAAACTGGTTTATCATCAATACGACCCCCTTCCTCCTGTTTGCGAAAACGTCTGCCGTTTAGGTGACTGGTCGTGCGGCGGAAGACGTGGTTCTCTTCACCGGGACGGGAGCCACGTCTGCGGTGGCCAAGCTCGTGTCTGCGCTCGGACTCGCGGCCCCGTTCCCCCCTGGTTGGAACCCGGACGATCGGTAAGACCCAAAGCGAGAGCAGAGGACGCAGGTGTACTACAGCCTGCGCCACGTGTTACCCANGGGACACGGAAACGTCGGTTTCAGGAATGCTGTTTGCGGATGATTTTGTCGGTATGTCGGACACCCCCGAGGGACTGCAACTGCAAATTGACGGGGCGAAGAAGTTTACTGAGAAGTGGAGAGTGTCTGCCAACGTTAAGAAGAGTGCCGTCATGGTATGCAGCGAGAACAAGGAACCAGCTGAACATAGATGGAAGTGGGGGATCGAGGAGATTGCAGTAGTGGACCAGGACACATACCTCGGAGCAGAGATCGCAAAAGACTGCTCGTGGAATGCACACATGTCCAAGGTAGCGGAAAAGGGCAAATCACGAGCTGGGAAGCTGCACCCAATACTCGCAAACCGGCACCTCGATACACGCATCAAATTGACGGTTT